ACACAGACACATACACACACACACACACACACACACACACACACACACACACACACACTGGAACTGGCCGCACCTACCGGTGAGTTCCTTTAGAACCTCAATGACCTGAAGGATGAGAGAGAAGTAGCATTCATCCCCAGTGTCTGGCACCCAGTAGATGCTTAAATAGATGCAGAGCCACGTTATGACCAAGGGATGCAGATACAGCACTGGCCGAGCAGACGGATGCAGGCATGGCTCTCACATGAGTGACGATGCAGGTTCAGGCACCCCTGTGTGGCTCGAGGCCTTGGTTTCTCCACTCTCTACAGAGGTTGCCTGGCTCTGAAGCTCCCATGGTCCAGCCTTGCTTTTTTCTAAAATCCGGTTAACTCTGCCTAGGGCTAGGGTCATGAGGATTGGCCTGCAGCCCTGGGGCAAATGAGTGCTTTGTTGGGAGCAGCCGGAAACTCAGCTCCACTCACAGATGCTTTGATAGATTAGCGAGCCAGCAGCTAGGGACCCAGGCATCTTAGAGAGCTTTGTAGAAAGTTCACCCCTGACTCTTATCAGTGGCTAGGAATCAGCGGCTTGTTGCCATGACTACGGGCAGCAGCCCATCAGTGGCAGGTCTCTGAGTAGCAGGAATGCAGGGAGGAGGAAGGCCACCCTGGCTCAGGCACTGTGGCTTCCCCTTCCCTCTGTGGAGTGTGCCGACCCTTGAGTTTTAAACTCAGCATTGAATAACTATGTGGTGAAGATGAGGCAGCTGTGGGCATGCATTTGCAGAAATAGGTCCTGAAAAGATGCAGGACTGGGTGAGGGCTGGGGCTGAGGTCTGGTTCCACTGAAGGGCTGTGTGCTTCACAGTCTCTTCCTCCTGTAAACTCAGCGCCTTGATTGGTAAGAAGGGGCAGAGCCAGAGCTACAGTTTCTGTATAGGATCAGTGTCCAGAATTCCCCTCTTCATCATCCAGTGACCAGAATTCACCTGTTTGTCATCCACCCATCACCCATCCATCATCATCCACCCATCCATCAGCAAACAGAGGCATCATTAGCCACTCTCTGATTACTTGATTGTAAGGAGCCAGTCCCTACCTCAAGAACTCATGTCCTCTCCCAGGAGATTATCGGTTAAAGGACATAAAGAAATTATCAGTGAAGAAGAATGAACTCAGCAAGCCTCTGTGGCTCCTACCATTAGTGAAGAGGGGACAGAGTGAGATGGGGAAGTTGGGGACAGCTCTCTGCAAAGGTGCCCCTTGAGAGAGGATGAGAAGATGACCATGCAAGCTGCATGCTGGGTACAGAGGTTGGGGGGGTGGGGGAGGAAGCAGGTGCAAAGGCTCTGAGGCAGGAAAGCTTTGCCCTGCTTGAGACACAGTAAGAAGACCGTATGGCTAGAACGATGGGGAAACAGGGAGGGATGCAGGAGGTGATCGAAGACAATCACATGGCATCTTTGGATTTTGTGCTTGATCTGACATATGGCCATCTGGGATGTTTCTTTAGCATGTAGATTCCTGGGTCTGCCTATTTCAGACCCTCATTCATCGCATCTACACTGGGTCCTCAGACCTCATTCAGAAGCATCATTGGGAACCTTTGATATTAAACCAAACTTGAAGAACATGGGATTTTAAGCTCACGCCCTCTCTTCTTGTTTTAAGAAAGCTGAGCACAGCTAGAAGATGGCTCGATTACCTGAGTGCTTGCTGTACAAGTGTAAGGACCAGAGCTTGATCCCCCCCAGAATGCATGTAAGAAGCTAGGTCTGGTGACATACTCTTGAAATCCCAGTTCTGGAAGGGTGGAGACAGGAAGAGGCACTGAGCCTAGACCCCAGCAAGCCCTGAGTCCCCAGTGAGAGGCCCTGTCTCAGAATGGGACAGGTGGTTGACCTCTGGGTTCCCCATGCACGTGTGTGTGTGTGTGTGTGTGTGTGTGTGTGTGTGTGTGTGTGTGTGTGTGTACACATAGTCAGGTGGAGAGAGGGAGCCAGGGAGAAGCTGAGCCACAAAAATAAAAGTGTTCGGATGTCTACAATAAGGTGTCGAATGTTCTATCATGGAGGGCCCCGTCTTTCCCTTCAGCGCTTCCTGTAGAATTTATTGTATTTCTGTTTGCTTTACTGCGGATTTCCCAGCGGGGTACCCCAGTCCAGAAAGCTGAAACTGGTACTGTTGGAGGAAAAGAGCAAGCTGGTGCGTGCCCTGGCACAGAGCTGCAGACATTTCACTGAGACGACCTCATTTCATCTCACCTCCTGCCATTCCTGCGTGTGCCGAGGCCTGCATGTACCTCCCCCCTTTCTGCAGATACGTGTGTGGAAGGAATGTAGTATTGTGCACACAAAAAAGGAAAAAATCCCTCCCAGTCCTCGTGACTGAAAACCCAGCAAGCCACTGTGTTTCATGGTTTCTGTGAGTTGAGGATTCTGGCTCAGCACATCTCGTGCGGTTGCAACTAAAAGCCTGTTCTGTTCCAGGGGGCTCTTCTCTACCTGCTCACTCACCTGGGTGGATGTTGGTGGTAGCTGTTAGCAGCAGGCCTCTCCGTAGGGCTGAGTGTTCTTACAACACAACATGGCAGATGACGGTCCTCACCTTAAAGGGATCAGTCAAGGAGAACAAGGCAAACATTGCCTGGTGGTGTAGTTTGAAAGTCATAACTTGCTGGGTGGTGGTAGTGGATCTCTGTGAGTTCAAGGCCGGCCAGCCTTGTCTACAGAGGGCTACAGGCAGAAACCCTACCAAAAAAAAAAAAAGGGTAGAGAGGGAAGTAATACATGATCACTGCCATTGTATTCATGTCAAGTGAGTCGTTAAGTCTAGCCAGCATTTCAGGGAAGGGTATAAGGCTGGCAATAGTATCTATCGATCAATCTGTGGGTACATTTTAGGCCACCTCATTCTGCAAGTTCCCTCGTCCCCATTGCTCATCACAGGGGCCATAGGCACTCTGCCGCCTTCCAAACCCTCTATGCTACTCTATCCACATCCTAATTGGTGACATTCAATAAGTCACAGTTTTCATACTTAAGTCATAATGATCTCCTCTGCCATCTAAATATAAACTTTGTGGTCACTGCATCCCCACAAAGAACCAGCACTGAGGTTTAGAGATAATGAATGTGGGTTAGCTTGGACCAGGCAGGAGGCAGCCTTGATTAGAATTTCCATTCCTCCTTGGCTGGCAGCTACTCCCAGCTCTGCTTCTGAAGATGCTCCAATAAGTGGATGGCAGAGATGAATGTGTTGTTCTGCCCTTGCTTCCCTATTGACTGGGTTTGGCTCACTCCCTAGAATCCCTAAGGATCAGGGAACTCATCACATGCGTTCATTGTGAGTCATAAAACTGGCAGGAGCCTGGTACAGAAGAGCTGAAGCCTTCAGTCGATGACTGATCAATTGATGCTTGACTCGAAATGGGAACTCAGAATGAACTAAGACAGACCCTCTACCCTCAAGCTCCTGGGCCCTCTCAGTTTGGATCCAGAACTTTGAGTGACAAGAGTCACAAGGACCGAGTGACTAAGTAATTTCTTGTCCCGTCTTGAGACTTAAATAGGTGAGGAACATTAGTGACTCCTACGCATTATTTGGCAAGAGGAGGGAACCGTAAGGCTTCATGGGAATTGCTATTCCAGGTAGGTGACCTCACTCCTGCAAGAGGCACCAGGTTGGCTGATTTGCAAGAAAGTAAAAGCAAGATAAAAGGTGTTTTTTTTTCTAGATCTTTTGGTTGGCATAAGTTATCTTTGTCCTCATGTCAAGTCAATAATCTAGGGACTGGTAATGTTCTCTGTTTTACTGCTGAGGGACTTGGAACTCAAGAGTCCAAAGGCTGACTGTAGGTCAGTGGTGAGTGGAGAAGGTGGTATCCAAATTCAAGCATCCATTGCCCCCCATCGCATGCCTACATATCCAATAAAAATAGTGTCAAAGCCCACAGTAGACTCCTAGGACCCAGGAGGCTCCGGCGCTGCACATACCATGCTTACCCCTTATATATGAGCCTATGGAAAGCTTTTATTTATAAGTTAGGTATAGTGCAGGGTTAACAATGATAACTGAGAAACAGTATCCTACAAATGTGATCTCTCTCTTAAAACATTGTACTGTGCTTTTACCGACTCATAGAATGGGACCTATGTCTTCCCTTTGGCATATTCAAATGTCTCTCATTAGTCTCTCATACCTTAGGGCCATTATTAAGGTCAAAAGGGGTGACTTGGACACCATGCTCTAGTACTGTGTCGGTTAATGGGCTGAAGGTAACCACTAAGCGATTCATAGTTGAGTAGCATATACAGCATGGACATGTTGGCTAAAAGGATGGCTCGCGTCCCAAGCAGGAGACAGCAGAGCAGCACAAGGTGTCATTGTCTACTCAGGGAAGCACACATTTATACTTACAGTCTGTATGTGGAACTGTTCCATTTACTACTTTTGGAGCTTGTCTATGGGGGGAAAAAAAACCAAACTACAGATAAGATGGGGCAGAAAATGCAGAGTAGAGTCTAAAAGGAAAGAGGGGGCAAAGGCTGTTAACCGATTCCTTCCATGCTTCCGTGACCATCATCTTGAGAGAGGGTGTGAATGCCGGTTTCCAAGACCCTTCTGTATGCTAGTCAGGACAGGATGGGGTATGCTGCTGTAATGAACTCTGAGACCGGAGCAACTTAATCTAGCCCATTTCTCTCTTATAAAAGTATTCGAGCTCAGATCTCTCTCCTCCTCCAAGTGGCTTCAACTTTCAGAGCACTTAGCCTTCAAAGTTACTGAGGCAGAAACAGAGAAAGATGGAGAGGATGTGTGAATCTCGGCTGCCTTGAACTGGAAATGCCCCCCACCCCCGCCACTCTACTGAGAGAAAAAAGACCATAATAACCTCATGACCTCATAACCTCATGACCTCGGTCTAGGAAGGAGGCTAGAAAAACCTCCGGTCTGAATATTTCATGAAATGACTTCAAATATCCTAACACTTTTACCTCCTTTTTTTTCCCCCTGCAGGACAGAGCCCCAAAGCAACCCCTTGGTCTCAGCCCAGAGTGGACCTTCAGAAAAGCTGGGCCACCATCTGGCCACGGAGACCTTCGGCACCAACAGCTGGGAGAAAGAGAAGCCCTGCAGGGAGCTGGGTCCTGGGCGAGCACACAGGTGAGAGGCAGAGCCAACAGCAGAGCAAGCCGGGTGTGAGAGAAACAAGTCTGCCTTTCCGGCCCCGGCTCCTTTCCAAGTTCTCTTTGAGAGCTTGTCAAGTGCTAGCGGAAGCGTTCTGTCGCGGGCCAATGTTTCAGGTTTGTGGACCCAATGGCTGATGTCACAACTGTTCAGATCCAGGCACTAAATGTAATATAGTACAGGAGTTGTAATGACGATGTACTTCTAAGAGCAGGAGGCAAGCTAGACTCGGCTTGCGTGAGTTAGACTTCCATCAGCGTGACAAGGACTTACGAAAACGAGATGATGAGGAACGTTATTTTTGGCTCATGGCTTCAGGGACTTAGCTCCATGGTCATTTTGTTGTTTCTGTGACTGTGTTCGGTGGGTGTGGCAGGATGGAGAGGGAGGAAGGGAAGGAGAGAGGGGAGGGGAGGGAGGGGAGGGGGAGGGGAGAAGGCACCTTCATTCCTTCCCCAGGTGGCTTCTTCCTTTTTCTCCCTTTGCTCCTTCCAAGCCCAGCAAATGCATCATTGCATTCAGGGCAGGTCGGCCCTCCTTATTTGTTGGGCCATATGTCAATCATCTCTGCAACACCCCCTCTCACACACACAGCCATCTCCAGGGTTTCACTCAATCCAGTCAAGTTGATATTCTAGCTTAACCACCACCTGGGTCCTTGGTCATGGTGAGGCCCTCACATTTAACGACAGAGTTACTTCTTGACCTAGTGATTCTGTGCGCCCTGGACTCTCAAATGATAATTTCAACCCATATTTGTGTCCTGAGTTTCAGACCTTTGCATTCATCCCTTAACTCAGCTACTAAGCCACTGACTTTACTGTCCCTCATAGATGACAGGTGCTGTGCTAGACACTGATAAGTGGCATTTTACCGAGTCTCATAAAGGAGACACCAATGACCAAGATAAGATAACCAGTAAGTTAAAACAGTGAAATCTTAAACTCTAGCTGGGGCCTATCATGATTAATAAGGATTGGGAAAAACAGATGAGCTGAATGAATGTTTATTCAGGGAGAAATAACTTACAACAGAGACAGATGAACGCCAGCAGGTTCCTGGTCCCAAGGATGCCTCTGAGTGTTCTCTGTCCCTGTCCAGCAAGCAAGAGAAAAATTAGGGGTGGGGCCTTCCCCAGACCTAGTTTCCCCAGGTCACGTCCGCCCCTGTCCCCACCCCCAATGGGCGTGGTCAGTGCAACAGGTGCGACAGAGTGAATTTCTCACTACCTGGGCCAGCAAGGTAGCACAGGAGATAAAGATACTTACTGACTAGCCCGAGACTGAAGGCCAGGAGTGCATCCTCAGATCCTACACAGTAGAAGGGACAACCAGATGACTGGGAACAGATCCCCAGGTCCTACAGGGTAGAAGGAGAGAACCAACATCTGCAAGTTGCCTTCTGATCTCAGGATGTGCGCCATGACACATGTGCATGCATTTCCGTGTACAGACATGCTAATAATAAAAAACCAACTAAATAGATTAACTCTTTAACTAAAGTAAGCCTACAGTTGGTAATGCAGGGGCCAATGCCCTGTCTACCTCCTGGTTTGTTTGTTTTCTATTTTACATACAAAGAGCCCAGTCCATTATTGTCTCATCTGAACATAGTCATGACACCATCATACGTGTGTGCATATGCATACTGTGTGAGTATGTGTATATGCAATTGGGAGTGTGTGTGCATGCGTGTATATGGATTTGTGTAGTGTGTATGTGTGTGTGAGAGAGAGAGAATGTGTGTACATGTGTGTATGTGCATGCATGTGTGTGTGTAGGTGCATGCTGGGGTAGTGCATGGGGCATGTGGAAATCAAAGGTCAGCCTCAGGTGTTACTCCTCAGGCACAGCTCACCTTGTTTGCCATGACAGGGTCTCTCACAAGGACCAAGGGCTCACCCATTCCGTTAGGCTGGCTAGCAAGGCCCGGACATCCATCTGTTTCCTGGTCCTTTGCTTTGATCACAGGCAACACCATAAAGCTTTTATTATTATTATTACTATTATTATTATTATTATTATTATTATTTTGTTTAATTTGGCGGTATGTTTGGACTCTGGCCCACACCTCAGTTAAACAGCTGTAAACGGGAATCTGGAAATCTCCTTCTGAAGGTGGAGTCCAGCACTGATACAGATCAGGCACTGTGTCCTTACCCTGCTCTACTCACCATGGTACCTGACCGAAACCGAGAATGGGAGGGTGGGATTACTTGGGCTCCGAGTTTCAGGGGTGTTTTCTCATGATCATAATGGGAAAGGTCTAAAAGACCACTAACTGGTGGCAGTTAGTATATGAGGTGACAGTAAATGGCCAGGAAAGAGTGTAGAGGGCCAGATCAGAACCAGGGCAGGTGTAACTTTCAAAGGACCATCTCTAATGACGAGACCTACTGCCATCATCCAGGCTCCAATTCCTAAGCCTCACCTGGCATCCCCCAAACAGGTGCAGGGTTCAGAGCTGGGGATGGCATTTCTGGATCAAACCTTAACTGGTATCTGTGAGTCCTGGCAGTAAGTGTGGAACATTGGAGGTCTTCAAAAAGAAAAATTGTGGCTAAGAATCATGGAGTCAGGGGGAAGATTCTGGGAATGAAAATCTAAAGGGGAATAAACCCCGATGGTGCCATGTTATCAACTGAGCTGTACAGTGTCTGAGTGAGCCTCTAGTCTTTTTCTGTCTGTGACTGATTCTCCAGGGAATTAAAAGCCACGGTCATAATGATAATTAATAACTGTCATGTAAGTGATAAGAAAAAGTCACACTGGTTACACTTAATGACAGGGACACACTCTGAAGAGTCTGTCCTCAGAAGACATTGTTGCCCAAACACCTGACAGGGGACTTACACAGAAGATGTGGCCATCTACACCTGAGCTGTACATCAGTCACATCTACACACACACTCACACACCACACACAGTGTATCCTACAGCTAAGCTGTGTGTCATATCTGTATCCTGCAGCTCTGAGGGCCAACAACGGAATCAGGAGATGAAGCAGAGAGGGAAGTAGGAAGACTTCTTCCAAAAGCCAGTGTTTCTCTATGCTGTGAATAAAAACAGAGTGACTACATAACCCGGCCCTTTGTTAGCATTATTATCTGCACATGATTGTCCACGCTGTATTTTACCCAACTAGAAACACACTGGGTTGCCCCCTCCAGCATCACCACACATGCATGAGCAGCACCCTGTGTTGCAAGACCACCCGTCAATAGGAGGGTTCCAGCTCCATTATCAAACTAACAGGACAACTGTCTCATCAATCTGGACGATGTTACATGGTATGTGACTCTGACACGGCATGTTAGCTGTAAACATACTCAGTGCCAGGCCAAGGCGTGTGCCAGCAAACTTACGCCCTCGGTTCCTGGTTTGATTCCCACCTCTTAGATGGTGACAATACAAGTCAGAATGTCTCTGAGCTAGGAAGGAAACTAGAGTGCAAACCCAGGTCTGTGAGTCTGTAGAACAATCATCTCTTACTGCTACGGTCCTCACCTTTAACCTCTGCTGGTTCAGCCACTGTCCACGCAGCCATGACCACGGCACATTTTAAAAGTAGGTGTGTAACTGGGTGCTCATCCTCCTCTGCGCGCACTTAGCCTCTGCACACTTTCTTCTCTGACTCTTTCACAGTGTGGACTTAACCACTGCCCACTCAGCCACTTGAACCTTGAGTCTACCCCTGTAGCGGCTGTGTCGCTGGCCACTGTAATCGAGCATCATACACGGAACTCCGGTGGAGACCAGCGTTGTGCCCCCAACCCCTGCGCGTAACACTGACCACGTGTGCTTTGCTACTGGTCTGTGGTGCACTCCATACGACCAGGGTAGGGGAAAGAGATGGGGAGGTGTGAGTTCCTGTGTATGAAGGCTTTGGCAGATTGTCACATCTCAGACTTCAGGTCTGCTGAATTTAGAGGCTTCTCAGTTTATCCTATTATTTTAACTTGCCTTTAAAGGCAGCTGGTTCATTTTCTGGATGGTCTATTGTGCTTTGTAGCATGCAGGTAATGGGAAGACTCTGTGCGTGTGAGTGTGCGTGCGTGCGTGTGTGTGTGTGTGTGTGTGTGTGTGTGTTCTGGTTTTGTTGCTACTAAAATAATAGTAGTTTTTCCAGTAAAAGCCAACTGAGCTCACATGCTTCCATTCCCAAGCAGATTTCAATCCATAGCTGTCTCCCTTTGCTATAGGATAGTGTTCTTTCTTTTTTATTTTTTAATCCCTGGAGCCTGCCCCAATTATAAAAGAAGATAGCCTGACTTCATTTAACTGCAGCCTGAGCATTTCAACTTAATTGAACGGGAAATAATTATTCCTGAAGTGCGGAGGTTTTTGAGGTTCCATGAAGCGATGTAAGATATGTATCTTGTTACATTAGACCCACGCAAATACACTTTTAATAATCAGCTTCCACTCAACACACCTTCTGCCTCCTGTGAAATTTACAGCAGGAGGTGTAGACAGGACGACTTGGGGAGGGAGCGGGCAGAACTGCCAATTCATTATTTTTTTTAAGTGATTTATTTACCGAGGTGAGCCATTTGCAAATTCAATAATAAATCTATTAAGGGGCAGTTAACCTCTATAAACCTTGTTTTAAATAATCAATTGGCATTTGGGTAACTACAGTGTCTGTCTCATTAGGTGGGCATTAAGTCCTTATTTGAAACGTTTAATCTGAGGTGTGACTGGCTCAGCCATGAGGTGGCAATTAGATGTTTACCACGGGTCCTTTATTCACCAAAAAGCTGGGTCCTCTCCCTTTCTCTGGCTGTCACAGCCCTGACTAGGGAGCCAAGGGACCCTCTCAAGTGTGACTTTTCCTTTCCCACAGTGCCTCTCAAGACAGAGACCTGACACCACCACCTTCCTCCAGGGGGAAAAAGAAAAAGAAGAAATCGACCAGGAAAAAGAGAAGGAGGTGAGGGGTCTTGAAGAGACTCAGAGGAGGGTGCAGGATAGTGGGAATATAGGCTTTAGAGTCTGCCAGTGACTCCAGCTTGGGTTCAGATTCCTGCTTTGCCTCTTAACTACGTGTGTGACCTTGGGTGTCACCTTCCTATGCCTTTTGCCTTTTGTTCCCCTCTTCTGCATGATGATGATGATGATGATGATGATGCCAGCCTCTTGGGATTTTGTGAGACTCAGAAGAGAAATGACTCTGGGTATGGTGACTCATGCCTCTAATAACAGCACTTGGGGAGCTGAGGCAGTAGGATTGCTTTGAGTTTGAGGTCAGCCTGGGTTACACAGAGCATTCTAAGCTCTGAGTAACCCAGTGAGGCCCTGAGCCTTACTGTGAGGCCCTGTATCACAAAAGAGAAGGCATGGAGGAAAATATGGAGGCAGCTTGACACAGTGCTAAGCAATCGTGTATAACCAATTAATGAGAAGCTGTTGTTGCCATGGATATTGACCTTGAGAGGCTGAAATATACAGAGTGCAGAGGCCTGTGCTAAACACCTTGCTACCCACCTTCCTTTCGCTCCCTGCCTCGCTCTGCCAGGCAAGCATTATTATGCCCATTTCAGAGATGAGAAGATAAAGTCTCATAGGCTAGGGTGTCAGATTGTGCCTTGGACTTGATTCTGAGGATTCCTCTCCAGACCCAGAGTTAACATTTTATATTAATAGCAGCTCGTGGTCCTGTTGAACTTCTTGAATTTCTCTCTACACACAGTTCTTTCGAGACGTTTTTTATACTTTAAAATATTTCCAGATTCCCTCGTAAAACTTTGTCTAGTGCTCTGGCTCCAGGGGAGCCGTGGAATCACACCAAACTTCCTAGGCAGTGTTTATAGAAGCCTGCAGGGGGCAGCAGAGAGCAATGCCTGGACCGCGCGGGCCTGGCCCTCAGGTTTGCAGGGGTTTTTGCCATCACACCTGCTTGGTATGCCTCTTAAGGATGGATCCAAGTAGAACCCAGGGTAGTTCCAGCCATTGTAAGGTAGGGAGTGGACTCGGAGTGAACTGAGTTCCCGATTTCAGGAGTGTGTGGAACTTAGAGGAGGAGACAGCACACCGTGGGGCTCCCTAACTATTCCTCCAACGAGGGTCCCCTGAGTGAGTCTGGGGACAGTAGAGGTTCCTAAAGTGTTGACTTCTTCCCCAGCCATTTGTCTTTGCTGACCCGTTTTGTTGAGCCTGCCAAGTTTTTTGTTTTTTGTTTTTGTTTTTGTTTTTTTTAAGAAAATAATATTAGTGTGTAGTCTTTGAAAATTGAGGAATTTCCAATGAAAACATGGATTTCTGCAACCTTCTATGGAAAAGGCAGCTGCTGTGAAAGGATAGGGCTGCATTCTCACACTGAACCCCAACCCCTAACTGACAGACACTCCTCGCCACTCCCTGCTGCCTTCCAGCCGGCGTCCTTCGTTCACCTACCTCGTTAGAGCGCCTCCTGCTGGCCCCCACTTTGCTGCCTCTGTTTTGAGCCCAAGCTGCTGTCTCGGTGAGGAAATAACCCCGAGAGACGAGCTGTGACTCAACCAGAGGGCCAGTGAGTTGGTGGTGGAGTCGAGATGGGAATTCAGGTCACCCTAGCATCAAGCTGAGTCATCACTTGTGTCGAAAGACAAGCATGAGACCAAGAAAGCCTTTTAGATTTAATCAAGGTAGCTGTGCTGTTAAAATGAACAAACCTGGGAACAGAGAGAACTTGGTTCGAATCTCAGACCATCCATGTCTGGGCTGTGCGTCTTGGTCACTAAAATGGAAGGAAAGCAATTGTATCCACCTGAGAGAGGTTTAATGGGATGGGGCACATTACTTCTAGTACAAATGCAAACTGCTTATGAGTACGGGGACTGTCCCTGAGTATGAACCCACAGCAACAGAGGCGTGTCTCCCTCCCCACAGGTCCCCGTCCTACAGCCCATCGCCAGTCAAGAAGAAGAAGAAGAAAAGCTCCAAGAAGCACAAGAGACACAGGTACCGCCCTTCCTCCTCCACAGACAGGGACACCCCAGATGCAGCAGGCAGGGGTCAGGGCCCCGGAACGTCACAGGAAGAACTTCAAACCTTCTAGTACCACACGCACTCCGTCTCCCTTTATCACGTGTTTGCATCAGTGTGCGTTGGGACTCAGACCAGAAGGGGAGCTTATTAGAAGAAAGCAAGAGGGTTTGAGTGACCTGCCAGACCTAGAAGAGGGCCGGGGAATAAAGGGAACCCAGCTGTTCCTCCTGCTTCCTGGTCCCGCGGGGGGGGGGGTTCCTGCCCCATTTCTGCCACATCACAGGCGAGCCAGAAGCACAGATAAGGCCTGTGTGTGGTTCCTATGGGGAACAGGAAGAGTCATGGAAAGACCTCTTATGACTTGGACCCTCAATCCAGGTGTTTAGTATACACACACATGCATGCACACATCCATACACACATACATACTTACACACATATATACATGCTTACACACATGCATGCACAAATGCACACATACACATATATACACATGCACACACACATACATACACACATACATACACACATGTATGCACATATGCACACACATAGGTACACATGCATGCACAATGCACACATATACATTTATAGATACACATGCACACACACATACCCATGTAAACATACATACATATTTATACACATCTATACACACATGCAAATGCATACATATATGTACACAAACATGCACACGTACATACATATATACACACACACGCAGGCACACGCACACACATATACCACAGAACCTGACACTAAGGCAAGGGCATGCCCATGAGTGTAGAGGGACACTTGTGACCTGCCTGTGCTGAGCAGGTGGTCCCAATGTGGAGGATTTTCCCACACCTCAGCCTCAAAACCCAGGTGAGGCTTCCCACTCAAGGCCTGTAATTCCAGCTATTTATGAGTCTGGGGCAAGAAGATCACAAGTTCAAAGGCAGCCTGCACAGTCTAGTGAGACCCTGGGGGGGGAGACAGAGAGAGAGAGAGAGAGAGAGAGAGAGAGAGAGAGAGAGAGAGAGAGGATGGGAAGAATGAGATGAATATTCTGGTCTTCCTAAGCCCCCTCCTGGGAACCCCTTCCCCAGCCCAGCTTCTCCAAGCCCGTGTTCATGAAATGTTTGGCTAAAGGCAGCTGGTGGTCTGGGAGGTGGCAGCTAGTGACAGGAGAAGCCTTGGGCCTTTCCTTCTCTTAGTGTCAGGGTTTGAGACCTTTTCAAAAATCTTCGTTTTCGCATCTATTCACCCTCACGATTCCAAGCCCCAGGAATAAAACAGTGAGCAAAACCCAGCTGCGGCTTTCAGTTTGTTCCCATCACTGGGCAGATTGTGAGCGCAGTGGGGAGAGCTCTGGGCTCCACCAAGGAGCTCAGTCACCACCTAGGAGAGAGGAGAGCCCGCTAGACCCAGAAGCTACTGTGGGAGAGCAGTAGAAGCAGAGCCTGGGAGGGGGCAGACAATAAGTTTTGACCCTCACTGCCCTCCATAGTGTGGCATGGGAATGGACAGGACAAGGTTGTATGTGCCCAGAGTTCAATACAGAGCCTGATGCACAGCAGGGTTTCTGCACAAGGGGAGGAGGGGGGTGGGCAGCAGGAGGGGGAGGAGAAATCCACAAGAGGAGGAGGGGGACAGGAAGGAGGGGGTGGGCAGCAGGGGGGGGGGAGAAATCCACAACGGAGGCGGAGGCGAGTGAGGAGAGGACTTGGGGGTCACAGCACACTTTCCCACACCTCCAGGAAGAATGCTCAGACTTACCCATGTTTATTCTCTCCCCTCCCACCCCCCCTTCACATCCCCCTTCGCCACCCCTTCCTTCTGTCTTCTCTCCCTCTCTCTTCCCTTCGAATCAGGTCTTTTTCCAAGAAGAGGAGACACAGGTAAGACTCTCGCTGTCTCTGGCTGCTTACTCAGCCTTCGGCTTCAACAGGCTTGCTCTGGGCAGGGTGGAATTTCATCACTGTGGTCCCGGAGCCTCAGTTCTGTCCATAATGAAAGCCTGTGTTGATTTCCCAGAACTGTTAGACCCCGCTTTGGGACTGTGCATTGCTACTGGACCAAGCTCTGCCCAGAAACTGAAAGTCAAGGCTCTTAGGAGGCAGGGGCCCCATTACTCCACCATAGCCTTCTTCCGGCTAGGCAAGGAAGAGAGAACATGGCGGAGCAACATGGAGCTACCACGTGCAGAGACTCATACAAAGTGGGCCCTGCACTTAGCTCTGGCCCATCTCAACCTTCGGCAGTGGGTGTGTTTGTGGTCCCCACAGGACAGGTTCAGAGACTGAGACTAAGACAAGAGAGACCAGGACCACAGCCAAAGCTCAAAGCCAAATCTGTCAGCTAGGGGTTATCTACAGGTGACAGTGGCTTATTAAGTAACAATGGCCACATCTAGAGCAGTTCGGAGAAGGCAAAGCCTCTGTGTGTTCATTACCGGTGCCACTGGTCACTGGTTATCAGTGAGTACCATCCAGGCAGCCACAGAGCTTAGGCTGTGGCTTCCTCCTTGCAGAGTTGAGGCAAGTGATCTCAGAGAGAGCAGGTCACTTGTCTGATGAGATGGGGCTCAAACTCAGTGTGATGCCGTTGGATGAAATTAGTGTCCTACCCCCTTCCAGGACCGCAGTGACAGCAATGGATGTGGGTGAACCTGTGAGGTTAATCTGGTTTGCCCTAGCGGGGTCACTTTCTCAGACTCCCTCTTGTCTACACTGGGACCCTGGCTCATCCTTGCTCATTCTATCCACACCCCACCCAGGGCTCTGGTACTTGAATATGCATGGGCAGAATGTTTCATAACCTACCATGCCCAGTCTGCCTTTGTCTATCCCTGTGGCTATTCTAGTCCCTTCTAAACTAATTGGCCAGCAGTCACAGGAGACCGTGGTCTGGGCCTACCCCAACTCGGCTGTGTGATCTTGTTACATTCCCACATCTCTAAAATGACTCTTACAAGCTATGCCCCCACCCATAGGTGATGGGGACAATAGCCTGAGGTTGTTCACATGGAGTGGGAGTATTTAGCACAGTGCCTGATATGCACTAAGTCCTCAGCATGACAGGCGTGGCCACCGTGACCTTCATTACCATCGCTGTTATTAACCTTCCGGAGGGAATGCCGTGGCCTCCTCCACACCCTCAGCGCTTATGCAGGAGCCAGGACCCCTTGCCTGACACTGGCGTTAGAACGACCTGCTTGCTTTGAATCTTGAACTGCACACAGTACTTTGCTCTGTTTCCATCTTCCAATCAACTGGCTGTTTCTCTTTTAGCTCCTGCTGTAGCCCTAAAAGCAAAAGGCGGGAAGAGAAGGAGCGCAAAAAACAGTGAGTAGACGGACGCCCTGGAGTACACCCTGCAGTTTGAGGACGCGGAGGCCTGGCCTCTCTCTCCAGCTGCAGAGTTAGCTGCCAAATACACTGGGGAGGGAAGGGTGGGTGGCAGAGTGGGAGGAAGGGAGGGAGGGAGGGAGGGCTTTATGTTCACTTGAAAGTGAGAGGTGGGGTATGCATGGACGCACAGATTGTATAAGTAATATACGGGTGTGTGCATGTGTGCTCATGTGCTCGTGATGTACAGTGTATATGTTTGTGCCTGAAGTACTCATTATGTGTGTAACGTGTATATAAACCGTGCATAATATTTGTATAAGTGTAGTGTGCATATCACTTATAAATGTCTACATGTTTTTTATGTCACGCAAACATCCATGCACATGGTCCACGCAGTGCATGTATCACGGGCACATTCATTGCATGTGCGCATGGGATCTAGCTGTGTTCACACGAATGCCGCCTATGTGTGTATGAGCCTGGTGGAAAACAGCACTCACGTAGGTGCATCCGGGACTCATGTGTATGAATCCTGTTCACTCCCTGTGAATCTACATGAACACTGTATGTCTGCATTCTGTGTGTATGTGTGGGGGTATGTCGGTCTTTACGTGTGCACATATCTGTGTAGTGTGAGCATGGACTGTGGGGTGTGATCACACATGTATACTCTGGCTACTGGTTTACACACTCCGGTTTACAGCACAGCGCTCCCTATGAGTTCCTGGGTCTCGGGCCCAGCTGTTTCACAGTTTATAGCTGGTAGTAGAAATTCAAATCAGCCAGTACTGCCTGTGGAGTTCAGTTCCCAATCAAATTAAAAGTAAATTTGGTTACAACCCACCTACTTTGTACTCTGTAAACGTTAGTGCAATGTGTTTTCCAATCAACTAATATTTTATCTCCCGCCAAGAAGCATCTAAAGACAAGATCAAAGACGATACAATGAAAGAAGGCCAGCTTCTCAGGAGGGGGAAAGGAAGCAGGGCGCAGAGGGAGGGCGCTCAGCAATCAGCGAGGCTGCCTCAAATGGTCCCTTTGCTCAAGGTCAGCACAGAGGACACCACCCTCCAGAAGGAAGGAGGAGAGAGTCCAGTTTGATCAGGGAAGAACTTCCCTTTTGGTCACTTTGCTTAAATGAAGCCAGCAAGGAAAAATTATTAATTGCATGACTCCCTCTGTGATGCCCTGAAGCTGGTCCTTTGCCATCCCATCGTAAGGATGAAAAGACAGAGGCCCTGGAGAAGTGACATGAGTGTGTTGGAGCCAGGGAGCTTGGCTCTCAGCACACACCTGTATGTTCTCAGACACACTTAGCCTTGGGCCCCGTCTCCCTCAGGAGCACTGGGAACAATCATGACGGCCCCAAGGTGGTCAGGTCACCCTCAGCAGTGTGAAAAGCCAGACAAGCCCCAGCCATTGCCAGTAGTTCATCATCAGAATGCTGGACAAACCCCACGAGGCAGACAGAGAGCAAGGACCCCAGGGGCTTCCAGGAAGCAACGGTTGTTCTGACCGAGCTGACCAAGAGTTAGCTTCCTTTCATCCAACGTGACTTCCCGAGGCCCTGGCATGTAGCAGTGGGGGGGGGGGGTGAGTAGTGGAGGCGCAAAGCTTGCGACACAGAGACAACACCAGCAGGAAGATATGGGCCTTGGTGGTGAGGGTGGCTTCCTTCAGGAGGGGACCCTGGGTTGCATGCTAGGGACACAGTTTCAACTCTCTGCTTCCAGTCCTCATTGTGCCATGGAGCTAGAGAAAGGACTCACCTTCGTCAGTTGTTATGAAGGACAGCAGAGTCCTGGGGAGAAAAATTCTTAGAAGGCAATGCCTGGGCCTGAAGAATGTGTTAGATATAAGGTCATTGTCATCCGACATCCCTGCCAGAACACAAGCTGGTCAGAGCTTGGTCAGAGCAGGTCAGAGCAGAAGACATTGGACAGCTAGGCCAGAAGACGAACCAGGTAGGGCCTGAAGGAACTTGGGGTTCAAGACCAGAGTCCGCACAGAGCTTAGAACAGTGAGGAGGTTTGAATCGGGGAATGGATATGGCCTGATATTTGTGTCCGAAGAATCTAATTCCTTCGCTGAAATGATCAGGCAGATTCCTGAGCTGCCACATTCTGCATACCCTTCTTTTTGTATTGTTTCTGGAGAGTGTCTTACTATGTTACCCAGGCCGTCCTTGAACTAGTTCAGGGCAGCCTCAAACTCACGGTGATCCTCCTGCCTCAGCTTCCCAAGCACTGGGATTTGAGCATGAGCCGCCACACCTGGCTTTCTTCCATCAGTTGCACTGGGATCCATCCTTGGGAATGGCTGAAGGGAACCAGGGCAATACCGCTGTAAAAGCCAGGCTTTTGCCTCTGTGCTAAGGATCAAGACTTCACATCCCAGGTCCAAGGTCACAAATTGGCAGCTGAAGGGCCCAGTAGACTCTGCAAATAGTTTTGTGCACACCAAAGGTTACCTTTTTGTTCTAAATGGGTGTCTCTTTAAGACAGGCATATTTTACATTAACGAGTCTACATTCGCTTTTTTCTCCCATGCGCTTGATACACCGGAGGGTCCATCGGAGCAGGGGGAGGGGCACAGCAGACCCTTTCACTTCTGCCCAGGCCATAGGTCAGTATTTTGCTGGCTGGCCTTTGAAATTGAATAAAACTGAGAGGCAGGGGAGCTTTGCAGGCAGGCGACTTCCTGCCTGGGCTGTGGTTTGTGCCAGGACCACTTCCAGCATGAGGACTAGTGTCAAGTCACCTGTCATCCACATTCCCCACAAAGGCTTTTCTGCTTTCCCGTGCTCAACCTAGGTGGGCAGAGAACCCCGAAGGTGCTGGCGGGAAGCTGGGCTGTGAGGCTGGGAGATCAGTCCCCTTGGGAGTGGCCTGCTCCTGGGTATGAATTCTGAGATTTGTGTATCACAAGATCAAAATCAATGGCTCCCTCCTCTTTCCCTCCCTCTCTCCCCCTTCCTTTCCTCCTTCCCTCTCTCCCTCTCTCTCCTCACCCAAAGATCCCGAAGCCGGAAATCTCACCGCCATAGACACCACCGCTGCGCCTCGAGGTCTCAGAGCTCGGAACTGCGCTCCTCCAGCTGTGAAAGCAGGTAACCCCTTTGCCCCTGCTCCTCATCCAACCAGCCCCGAGGATGCCTGGCCCAGATTCTGCCCCACACTAAGTTACTCTTACGCTGTCCAGGCCAGAGCTGCTCAGGCTTGCTGTCAGCACTACAGGCACAATAGTAGCCCCTGGTACAACACTTGCTGAGTGCCTTTGGTGATGCCAACTCTATGACCCTCTCTACAGTCCCTTGAGGACAATCCTATTGTCCCATTGTGAAGAGGAGGAAACTGAGTCATCGGGGCTTTAAAGAACTCAATACTTAGCGACTGAGTGACACAACTAGTGTCACAGCTCTAGATTTCCATTCTCAGAAAACAGAGAGGCTAAGGATGCACAGCACAAAGCACCATGTTCTGAGGCCCTTCCGAGTCAGTTTTCGCCTGACTCTGATGTCCCTTTGCTGATGCATCCCCTGCCCTAGTCTGAGAATGATGGGAGTGGCGTGCTCTTGTGGATGGGGAGACAAAGAAGGTTTTGTGGATGGGAATTGTTGATGTGTGGCAGGACGACCAAAGCCGGCTCCGGGTGCCAGGTGCTTTGCTCTCCTCAGATGCTCATTCACAACGCCGGGAGAGCAGAGCATGACAGAGGCGGCTGGAGAAGAGAGAGAAGGAAGTGGAGGGAAAGAGGGTGAAGAAGAGGAGGAAGTGGGGTGGAAGAGGAGGGTGAGCAAGAGGAAGGGGGGATAATGTTGAGCTTTGTGCCGGGCTCTGGGCTGATTTCAAGCCCTTTCTCTTTGACCTCCACGATCCTGTGAGCGTGATATGATTTTCTATATCGTCTGCACTTTGTTGTCACCTCAGAATTGCTTTTAAGATTTTCTAGTGTCTGACTGCCCGAGTCCCACCTTCTAGTCACCCCAGCTAGGTAGAGAGGCTGCAAAGTTTCCCAGGGGATATAAACACAGAGACTCTGTCACCGAGGCCCTGGCATGTCCCCTCCCAAGCCAACATCTGTGTTTCTGATGGACTCCAGCTGCAAAATAGGACCACCAGATGAAGCCACACAGCACTCTGATTGACCAAGACACAAATGAGATGTGCCGAGCAGACTCCAAATGGAACGAGAACTTTTCCTCAACACACAAGCACCCAGATACGTCCATCCAGCTAGCGTGGTTGTAGGCTGCTTCCTCCATGATCACAGTCTTAGCCTCAATCTAGTCTGCTCTCATTCTAGGCTACCTCAATGTCTCAGCCTGCCTCAGCCCGCTTTCTAACAACATCCAGTCCAGAGCAGCCTCTGTCACTTTGTGACACCTCCCCATACCACCCGCCACTTGTCCCCAGTGCTGTGTGACAAGTTCATAGTGGCAGCCTATTATAGTGTGACTAAGCTGAGCCTCTGCCTCTGCCCCTGGGTCAACCATCTTTCAGAGATTTGTATAGGACCCCAGAAGGTTGCATGCTAGAGACATGGCTAGCATCACATGTTCCAGAACTTATGCCTCCAATGGTCTCATGTTGAACTAAGCTTCCTGGTGCCTCATGGGACCTTGGTTGAGAGCAAACCAAGATTTGGTTGTGTGTCATATGTTCCGAAGAGTGATCTGGAAGATTCAGAGCAGGGAAACAGACCGGAACAAGAATCAGAGAACATGATTCTTAAAGGTGAAAAATCCTGCCCTCATTTGGCCGCTTTTAATCTGTGTGACCTCAGGCAAGCGCCTAAACATCTCTGAACCTCAGCTCTTTCCCATTTTGTAAAACGGGAAAAAGCACCCAGCCCATCTATGTCTTCAGGATGCATTGAGGAGTGTGAAGGATTTCCAGGTGACTGCAAATTAATATCGGTGGCGTTTGTGTTTACAACTGTATCTCAGAGAGTCCGTGGATGAATATTCTAAGGGGTGGGATGTAGTGAGATAGTCCTTCTGTGGCGCTGACCACGCCCATTGGGGGTGGAGCCATGGGCGGAAGTGACCTGTGAAGGAGGTCGGAGGGAGAGCCGGGAAAAGCTCTCTTGCTGGCGTGACTCGGACTGGAGAGCATCAGGTGGAATTTCCTGGTGTTCATCTGTCTATGTTGTAAGTTATTTCTCCCTAAATAAACATCTATTTGGCCTATTTGTTTATCCTGGTCCTTATTTAACCGCAATAGTGGGACATGGCTCTGGTTTCTACAGCAGGCAAGACAAATCTTGCTCACACAAGGTGTCTCCGTCATTTTTATCAGGCACATTTCCCTCAGTATTGTGGGTGATGGTCAATAGAATGGCTCCATTTCACAAATGGTAAAGGCACATGCACAAAGACACATAGGTATTCACGGAAACATAGGTAGGTGCGTTCAAACATACAGAATCAAGAAGACAACCACAACCACATGAGGGGCATTAAGCCAGATGGAATAAAGGACCTCTTTTGTCTTCCTGGCTACACCATAATTTGTTCATTTGATAAATGAACAAATAAGAGAATGATAAGTAGACAGCAGGGGGATAGATGGATGGAAGGATGGTTAGTAAATGGATGGATGGATGGGTGGGTAAATAGATAAATGGTAGGTGGTGGATAGATGGATGGTGAGTATATGGACGAGTCATTGGATGGGTGGGTGGAGAGATGGATGATGGATGGTTCAGGGTGAGTGGTGAGTAAGTGGGTGGAGGAGTGGACAAATGGATTGATGAGTAGATGGAAGAATAGAAGATGGATGGATGGATGGATTGATGGATGATGGAGAGATGGATATGGATGAACTGATGGATGGGTGATGAGTCAGTGGACTGGTGGATGAATGAATAGAGTGGTGGGTCAGTGGGTGTGTGGGTGGGCATATGGATGAATGGATGGATGAGTGGGTGAGTAACAAAGAGAGGATGGATGTGCATAAACATAATCCAGCATTCCCAGAGACAAAAATCATACAAACAGGCGTGCAATCCTACTCTATCATTCTCAGATGACATGCCATTTGCCCATTGCTCTCCACCATGCTCTCTTCCAGAGGTCTTCAGGTTTCTCTTTCTTGCTTCTCAGGCACCGAGGTAGATCTCCTGAGGAAGGGCGGAAATCCCGCCGAACACACTCCCGCCGCTGCTCCAAGAACCACTGCAAGGTCAGCCCAGAGGCCCGGTCCAGCCACCTGCCCAGCCAGCCCCTCCAGAGGCTTGGCTTCCTGTCAGCCAGGGGTGTAGTAAGTATTCTGAACATTCCCTCTGCCAGCCTTGCCATGACTCTTGGGGGAGGGGGAGGTCAAAGTTCAGGGCAATGAATGTATGTTTTAATTCATTTTGGGTAAAATGTCCCACTTGCTCCAGATCTCATTATTGATTAACTAAGTGGTCATTCACCAGCCTTTGATAGCACTCTGCTGGGGAACTTGGGAGACAAAGGAAGAGAAAGTAAAATGCCTAAGCTCGTATTTCCAGGGGCAGGGGTGGGGGCTGTTGAAACACAGATACTGGCCTCCAGATGACATGTGTAAGAGGTTTCTTAGGGGTGGGCAGAAGAAAGGGGCCATTGACATGGGAAAGACACTTTGGCTTTTATATTAAGTCTGCATCTCTTATGCCAGCTGGCTGGCAATAGCTGGGATATGATTCCTCCTATTAATTTGAGCTTGACCCGTGTCTTCTTTTGTATTTGCACACAGAGTCTCAGGTGTCAAGGGCTCAGTTACTGTCATTCATCCATCCCACAAATGGGGCAGAAACATAAAAATTCAGAAAGGTTAGGAGCTGGGACAAAGTCACAGAGTGAGACAATGTTGAATACAACTTAGTGAACCAGGCATGAATAAAAGCATAAAAACCCTCCCTTGGGTCAACAAAACATAATTGGTGTGTGTCCTTGAACACTTTGGTGTGGGATAGATCTGAGGGGACACAGAGACAAACAGGACAAGAGTCAGCCTTGACAGGTCACAAGATTGTAGCCAGCAGCTCTTCCAGACTGTCTTCCAGATATAGGAGAACTTGAACACGCAAGGAGGCATTCCCCTTTGTAAGGGTGAGGGGGAAGAAAGGAAGAGTTAAGGGGTCCTATGGGAAGGTCAGGGGGGAGGTAACAATAAGCAACAACATGGCCTTTTTGAGACAGTCGCTATTCCCAGTGTGTTCTAGAAAACTCTTTTCCATATCAAGGTATCTTGTGTTGCCTGGGTCTAATGTTATTCAATCTTATGCATGTCTGACTGTGCTCTTCCTAAGTACCTCCTCAAGATGTCTGTGAGAATGTGCAGATGTCAAGCCCCCACCTGCACTCTAGCATTCCCTAACTTCCTCAAACCATCTGTGCTGTAAAGACTACAGAGGCCAGGGTTTGAGTCTTGAATACTCAACTCACCCGCCCACCTCCATAAGCCTCAACTTCCTCAGCTGGGAAATGGGTGTGATGACTTCATTTGTGGAAAAAGTATAAGTAAATCTGAATGATAACAATAAGAGGCAGAAGAATGTTCCTGAATTAGCTAAGCTGCCCAGTCTCCCATGTACTAGTGCCTGTGGTAGACTGCCTAGAAGCTCCAACTGACCTTAGCTACCATATGCCTATGGCAACACCTGACTTATATTCTCTCACCAGCCTGGAATGGTTTCCTAAGAAGCTCACATGTGTGAAGGTGCTGCCGATAACTTCATCTGTCTTCCCTCACTTACCAGTAATGTTACCAGACTGGCTCTTGACAGTTTCTTTCCCAAAACACAGACTTTTGGTGGCAGTGAGGTATAATGCTCCATGTCCCCCAGAAACCTCCTTGTCCAGGAGCCTCCATATCCCCCAGGAGCCCAATACCTCTCAGAAGAACAATAAACCAAGCCTTAACTTTATATGCAAGGAAGAGGCCTTAAGAGCTCACCTCTATCCCACTACCTTGGTTATTAAGAACAAAAGTATGCATGCATAAGAGAGTCATAATGGCCTTGGCAAAGTAGGGTTGTAAAAAGAAATCCAGGGGGTTATGATTGTATAGCCAAATTCTTTATAAGCTCAAAGTTCTTCAGCTGTTAAGAAAAGAAAAGAAAACTAGATAGATAATACATGCATGCATACATTCATGTATACATATATTCATGTATAGATGCATGCATGCATAGTTATACATATATGTGCATGCATACATGCAATACACACATGAATACAGTCTCTTCTTCAAAAGACACTCATTGAGCCCAATGATTGGTCCAGGAACAAAACTCTGATATTCTAGACCCTTTTATGGAAATATTGGCTCATCACATCACCTTTCTGTGTCTCTGTTTCCTCAAATTTTAAAACAAGGCAACTAGTGAGACCTAGTTCATAAGACTGCCATGGGGTCACCATAACAAGCTGTGAGTAAACATTTTAGAATGCAGTTGATGAGTGGAAAACACTATAGGATATTTTCTGCTGGTGCTGGCAGTATTGTAGGTACAACAGCAGATGAGGTAGAGGCCATAGCAGAGGTCAAAGTAATAACTAAAGTGTAGTTCCTAGCTTGGGTAAGTGAATGGGTAAACAGGGAAGAAAGTCAGGGTCCTGCTCACTGATTTATTTCCATCATAAATAATGGCTTCATTCAATATGGCTACCCTCACTCAACCTGGTTGAGGTTGTCTGGCTACTGGAATTATTAAAATACACTCTACAATCTGATTCCATGCTCCCTCCATTATTGGCCCCCGTTTCATCTTCTCTATTACTAAGGTAGATACGAGAGAAGATTCCAGGTGCATCACAAATGTCTGAAGAGTTCTATATCCAAGATGTTTTTTCTCCATTAGCTAGAATAGCAGAGGCATTTGCACTGAGTCATGTGTCAATCATTTCTTCAAGTCTAGCCACATTTACTGAGCATCTATTAAAGTGTTAGGCTGGAATTTGGCTCTGGAGATCTGATGAACAAAGAAGAAAGTCTGTGCCTGCTAAATGGGAAGATAAAAGAGATAACAACAGGAACAGGTCAAGTGTGGTAATGGATGCTAAGATGAGGCAGAAGTTTGACTGACAGGAAAGGACATTAGGATTAGGGCAGATAGGGAATGTAATGAAAACCCAGAAAACTAATTATGAGCAGAATTTAGTCAATGGAAAGGAAAACTGAAGATTGGAGGTGGGGTTTGAGATGGAATTGTAGGACAAGACACTGATGTTACAGATGAATTGGAGACCTAAGCACTGGAGGCTTTCTTCTACTGTTCTGTGGACCTTCTCCATGGAGCCTCTCATAACTAACTATAGAGGGGATCTAGAAAAAGGGATGAATCAGAACCACGGAGAAGGGCAGGCTGCCTCTTCCTTTCTGCTTGTACTGTCACCAGGGCCAAGGACAGTCAATCATATATGGCTTATGTGTTGAGTGTTGCACAGACGCCATTAGACAAAAGGAGAATGTGGAGTCTGTCAAAGATAGCTTCACAATATTTGTAAACTGAGGGAGGTAAAAGAGTGTGATTAAAACATGGGCTTGGGAGATCTTGTCTCCCTGTGGCATCCTGAATGGTGTCAGTAACTATGTTCTCTAAGTGCCTACTATGTGCCAGGTCACTGTCTCATGTTTTTATTATATCACTTTAAGAAACACAATGTGTCCACTATAGAATGAGCACCCTGTGGCCTAAAAAGATCAGAAAAAAGGCAGATGCTTGTAGAAGCTCAGATTTCAAGTTAGAGAGCCTAATCAGGAGGCCCATGTGCTTAACCGCATGTAAATATCATCATCTCTACCTGGGGGTAATTATCTTAACCTATTTACATGGTCATTACGATGGTGACATGAGACAAGGCATCATCAATACACTTACTTAAATACACACTAAGAGCATGAGAGGCAGCTCAGTCAGCTACCCCAAACCCCGGTTTGGATCCCCAGCATCCACATAAAAGCCAAGCACAGTGCTGTGCACTGTGACCCCAACATGGAGGGGAACAAGAGGATCCCTGAGGCTTCGTTGCCAGACAGTCTACCTGTATGGGTGACCTCTAGGTTCATTGAGAGACCCTGTGTCAATAAATAAATAAATATAAGGTGGAGATTGATGATTGAGGAAGATATGTGACATCTGATACCAACCTCTGGTCTCCACAGGCAACATGGACAGGTACATAAACATACACACAACAATCATAATAGTAATAGCAGTGGTATTGATAGGAATAACCTTGAACTCCTACCATGTCCCAGGCATCTGCTGTGTGAAACACGTCTCAAGGCCTGGGATCTAGTGTCATACATACAGTAGCTGCCAACTTGATTTGTTACTACATAAGCTCTTTAAAGGCTTACTTCAAAGAAACCCAGACACGACCTCTGACCTCAGAATCTACCAGCGAGTTTGACAGCAACCTTTGGGGAAAGGCAGGATGGACTTGTGCCTCTTGTTTCTAGACAGGGAAGGTGAGGCTGAGGACTGGCCATGGCAAGTTCTGACCCATTGACTCCTCCACCCAGGCTCATTTATCCAGGCTTGCCTTGCTCTCTCTCCTGGGAGCCTTAGCATCCAAGCTCTTCACTGAGGGAGAGAACACAGTCCAGAAGAGAAAGATGACACTTGGAGCTTCAGGGATGAGAAATGACATGACATAGTTGATGTTTCTTTTCTGCATAAGGAAAGAAGAAACAATGCCAGGAATGCCAGCAAGGAAAATCAATTTTATATTATTATTATTATTATTATTATTATTATTATTATTATCAGCTAAGAGACATTTCGCCACCAGAAGAGGTAGAAAGGACATCGCCTTGGTGGGGTGGGGGTGGGGGGCGGAGGAGATGGCTTCTTTAAACTGAATGAAATTCAACTGGATGCAAAGCTCATTTACTGAGCTTACTTTTTTCCTTCAACCTGGGCTTGCGGGAAATGTCTAACAAAGTTTACAGGGAGGGTGTTATATGCTGGTAGACAGGAAGACCTCCGGCAAGGCTCTGGAGAAAGGGGGGGGAGGTTAGCTGTCATTCCTTTCAGAGTCATACAGAAAGGGAAGGGAGAGGGGGCCAGATACACGCCCCACATCAGCTGCAGTGCACAGCCTAGAGTCCTAGGGACTCTAACTTCGCTTTATCCCCAGAAAATCAATCTCTCTTCAGCCGCCCTCCTCTTCACTTCCCCCGCTTCGAAGATAAACCTCCACAGGTCAACGAATCCATTCTCTTGCCGTCTTCCTAATTAGTGTCAAGGAAAGAGGGATGCGGGCAAGCAAAATAACCCTGCTGTC